AAAAATTTACAAAAAAAAAACCCCTCATTTCTGGAGGCGCCTGGGTAGCTCAGTCAGTTAAGCTAAGGGTCCTGGGATCAAGCCCCACATAGGGCTCCCTCCTCAGCGGAGAGTTTGCTTCTCACTCTCCCTCTCCCCTCCCCTGCTCATGCTTTCTCTTGCTCTCTCTCTCTAATAAATAAAATCTTTTAAAAATAAATAAATAAACAAACTCACTTCTGGATACTTATTTGGGGTTACTTCCATAGTCTAAGCAAATATAAATCATTTTCACTCTTATTAAAATGAGATTTTTTTCAGAGTACCAGAATAAATTAATCTACATTTGTTTTAAGTGTCTGAAACACAAAATATGTTAGCCCAATATGAATTACTATAGGAGATATACATTACTGGCTTCATTCAGCAAACACTAATAATCACCTGTCTATGGGTCATGAAGATTGAGAATAAAACACAGTCACTGTCCTGAGAACTCAAAATTTAGTAAAAAACAAAAACATGTAAACAAGGTCATTAATGAACAGAATGATGTGTGAACATAGAGAAGGGAATAATTGTCTATGGGAACAAAGAAAAGCTTCACAAAGGAGGTGACATCCAAGTTTATTTTTTTGAAAATTTATTAAGAGTTTGTCAGGTAGAGAGGAAGATGGGGGAGGGGATGCCATTCTAAGTAAAATGAACAGCACAAAAGCACAGAGCTGGGAAAGATCACAGTTTGAAAACTGAACTCTGCGTGGCTGGAACAGACTAGAAACAGATCCAGCTAGAGGTACTGTTGGGGCCAGATTATGAAAGATCCTTGTAACCACACAAAGGAGTTTGGACTTTAATCTTGCAGGCAGTTAGGACCCAGGTTTTAAGAAAATAGGAAAAAATTAAATTTGTTTTTTTTAGAAGGATGCCTCACTCTGATGACTATGTAATGAGTAGACTGGACTAAGAAACTGACCACTGAAGATTTACTTAAGATAGCTCTTCAAATAATCTAGACAAATAGTTTTCAAACTGTGCTCAGGTCTCAATCATTTTTATAAGCAACCAAAAAAAGTGCTTTTCCTTATTTGGGAAAAATAAATGTTTACCGTCGTCTTTTGAAGGGTGACTTTGGCATATCTGCTGTAGGGATCATCTGCTCTCCTGGCCTTACCCACATGATCGGCCCATCATCACTCTGGGACCTACACTGGAGTCGGAGGCTGGAAAGCGTACCCCAGGGCAAAGTCATCTAGAAGTCAGATGAATGAGTCACATTAAAAAAAAAAATTTTTTTTTGTCTATTTAACAAGTTAACCTCTCTACTACCCCAAATCAAAAGAAATCTCTAGGAAGTTTATTTTGTATATGCATACGAAGAAATAAATGCTGTATTAGAGAGTAATTTATATGTAAAATTCTGAAGCAATAATTTTCTGTTATTGCTGTTATTCTGAACCAATAATTTTCTAAACATTTCTATTCAAAACACTGGATAAAATTTAATTTTAATAGACAAGATTAATTTAATATTAATACTTAATAGAAAGTGTCCACTACAGTAATGATCAGAACTTTAATAATTGGAATTGACACTCACTTTCAGAAATGGTGATTCTTCTAACATATCAAGGAACTCTGGGAAATAATCACCAACTTCTTCATCTACTGCTCCAACAAGACTTATCTGCCGCATGGGACCTGCTCGGTAGGTGCCACAGCAGTATGTCCTGTTGACCTGAGATAAAATGAAAGGGGGGAGAAAGAACTGAAGTACACTATAATTAAAAAATTAAAATATTGTTTCCATTGTTGCTATTTCTTCTACATACTAAGAACTCAATACTCAGTACCTTGTATAAAGTCCACAGTTACAGAAAGCTGCCCTAGCACACTGACAAACACATTAACGTGATAAGTGCCACAAACAAATTTCAAAGAGCAAGTTAATCTATGATCCCAAAATCTCAAAGAAACACTGAAGACTTCTCTGAGAATGATGATTTTTGTACTTTGTAAACACTAAAAATAATAGTAACAACAACAAAGTGATCTTTATTTAGGACAAAAAAATCAGTAAACAGTAAAACTGGCAGGGCAGAGAAAAGGAGAAAAAAAAAAAAAAAAAAAACATGGTCAGATTAATCTTCCATAACCATTTTGTACTCCCTAGTGAAAACCTTCACATCAAGCCAGATACCAGGCTTGACTGTTAGCAATCCCAATTTCCCTCCCAATTACTTGCATATAAGATCCTCTACCCCAGGCAAACTGATCTTTTTATCTACCCAATTTATGCCAAACTTACTTCTACCTGCAATGATTTTTCTCTTAAATCTGCCCTACTTGAAATGTCCTCTTCTGTCAATCCAAATCTTATCTTTCAAAGATCAGTTCAAGACTTTTCTTCTGGAAGCCTTCCTGATCACCCTTCATGACCTTTTTTTTCTGAAATCTAATGTTACTTGCAAGCACACAGACATTTTCTATCAACTCTCTAGTGAACTTAAGGCATATTTTATACCAATCTGTAGCCCAGAGAATCCTAGCATTCAAATGGAATCTACTAGTAGACCTGAAACTAATATTACACTGTATGCTAACTGGAATTTAAATATAAAATTAAAAAACCAAACAAATAAAAAACAAATGGAGTCTACCAATTGATTTGACACAATCTGATATTATTCTTCTAAGTCATTTCTTGTATTTTCTTTTATTCCCACCTCCAGTTTTTTTTTTTTTAAGATTTTTATTTGAGAGAGAGAGAGAGAGGAGAGTGAGAGAGCATGAGTGGGGTGAGGGGCAGAAGGAGAAGCAGGCTCCCTGCTGAGCAGAGAGCCCGATGTGGCTGGAGCCCGATGTGGGGCTCCATCCCAGGACTCCGGATCATGACCTGAGCTGAAAGGCAGACCCTGAGCCACCCGGGCACCCTTCCCCCTTCTGATTTAAAATTAATGTTTCTCAAGAATAAAGACAGATCTGTGCATACAGAAGACTAGACTAAAAATGCTTAATTCTAACCAGAATTTCCACCTTGGATCGGTAACCAAGCATTCTCTACCTTAGTTAAGGTGCAGATTAGATTGAAAAGCCTAATATACTGGTGCCTGGGTGACTCAGGAGGTTAAGTGACCAGCTCTTGATTTCAGCTCAGGTCATGATCTCAGAGTCAGGCTCCATACTCAGCGGAGAGTCTGCGTGACATGCTCTCTCTCCCTCTCTCTCTGTCCCCACCACATGCACACTCTGTCTCTAAAATAATAAATCTTAGGGGTGCCTGGGTGGCTCAGTCGTTAAGCGTCTGCCTTCAGCTCAGGTCATGATCTCAGGGTCCTAGGATCAAGCCCCACATCAGGCTCCCTGCTCGGCGGGAAGCCTGCTCCTCCCTCTCCCACTCCCCCTGCTTGTGTTCCCTCTCTTGCTGTGTCTCTCTCTGCCAAATAAATAAATAAAAATCTTTAAAAAAAATAAAAATAAATAAAATAATAAGTCTTTTAAAAAAAAGATTTAATTGTTGTTTTAAATACCACCTATTTTGCCTCAGTACAAGGCATAAATGACAATCTAGTATTTCTTACACAGTTTTTTACTATTAGTTCTCTAGCAGCATTTTCAGAACCCACTTTTTTTTCTGTAGACTATTTAATAGGCACCCCTATTCATACACAATACACAAAGAAAAAATCAGGGATTTCTTACTTCCTTATCTTTCCCAAGATCACCTTATAGGATCATTAAGCAGCAACCACTCAGGACAAAAGTCACCTTTCATATATTTTTATGAGTTACCTTCCATTCATTTGTATGATCATCATGCTATTATGAAAAGCCAGGGGAGACAGCAGGAAAGATGATGATCACGGGATACAAAGATAAGGAAAGCTTTTCTACGTAGGAAAGCTTTTCTAAGCATTATTCTAACCTTTCTAGGCCAAGCACCCTAAAACAACTAAAGCAGATTAATTAACCTTCAATACCAGTTCTGAGAATGGCATGCTTTCAGAGATAATAAATCAGTCCCCCCACAACACTCCCCCCAACTATTCCCAATTATCAGAAGTTTCTTTACCAAGATAGACTTTCAAAAATACAGAATAGTGGCATTTTATATGAGAACTATCCTAGAGACACATCACAATTTAAAGCTTACAGAACTCGAGACTAATCCTGAAAAAGGACACTGCCACGTGCCACTTCTGCTAGCTTTGAGATTATGCAACTCTTAATGCATCATTAATTTGAAGGAATTCACACTACTTTAAATTTTACAAAGACAGAATATTTTTATATCACAGTGCTTGAAGTTACCTAATTTAAACAATTAGCAATAATTTAATTGATAGCACTGAGCCTGAAGACAACTTAAAATGCAAACACCTGGGATAATTAATATGTGACATGAATAAATATAAAGCATCCTTTCCTATTCGGAAAGAGAAAGTTAACCTAAAAAGAGGAAACTTGAATTATTTTTTATTTAAAAATATATATTATAAATTTATAACTTATCCTGTGTCCACAAAGAATGAAATAATCAGACATTAAACTGTGCCCAAAGAAAAACAGTAGAAAGAGCAAAGTCGATTAACAGTATCTGTGTATCACTTGTGTAAAAAATGTTCATAAATGCTACTGTTCGTAATGCATTTAGATAATTAACAGCACAAGTTGGAAGATGGATAGCATTTATGACCAGAAATTCAACATGTACCAACTGTGTGACACCAATGCCAAACAAGCAAACTACTAATTCTACCCTTCTTTTTAGAAACAGAACTTCCTGGGCATATAGCCAATAAGCGAGGCTCCTTGGCAGCCAAGTGTGGTCTGGAACTAAGTTCTGGCCAATGAGATGTTAGTCTAAGTTACATATGCAATTTCCAGAGCATGCCTTTATAAGTAAGCTGCTTGCTCTCCACTTCCTCTTTCTGTCTCTTAAGAGCCAGGTTCAAATACACAGACAACACCACCAAAGGGATTGGCAAAACTTAAAAGATGAAAGGAGAATCCTGGATGACATCATGGAACAGAACAGAGCGGCTTAACCTCCGGACTTGTTCCTCAAGAGAGAAACTTTTATTTTGTTCTAGCAACTGTATGTGACATCTCCTTGTTATGGTGGTTTAGCCTACGGCTTGTTATCTTGTATACACATCATTTTACTGCACTTCACTTTATTGCATTTCACAGATATTATGCTTCACCAGTAACTGCATTTTTTACAAATTGAAGGTTTGAGGCAACCCTGCCAGAAGTAAGTCTATCAGCACCATTTTTCTAACAACATTTGCTCTTCGTGTCTCTGTGTCACATTTTGGTAATTCTCAAAGTATTTCAAAATTTTTCATTATTATATTTGTTATGATGATCAGTGCTCTTTGATGTTACTACTGCAATTGTTTTGGGACACCATGAACTGTACCCAAATAAGACAGCGACCTTAATAAATATTGTGGGTGTACTGACCGCTTTACTGACTGGCCATCCCCCCTCTCTTCCTCCTCCTCAGGCCCTGTTTCCTGAGACACACCAAAACTGAAATTAGGCCGGTTTAAGAACCCTACAATGGTCTCTAAGTCAAAGGAAGAGTCGCATGTCTCTCATTTTAAATCAAAAGCTAGAAATGATTAAGCTTATTGAGGAAGGCATGTCAAAAGCCAAGACAGATCAAAAACTAGGCCTCTTGCACCAAAGAGCCAACTTGTGAATAAAGGAAAATTTCTTGAAGGTAATTAAAAATGCCACCACACATGAAACACACAAATGATAAGAGCTTTATTGCTGATATGAAGAAAGTTTTAGTGGTCTAGATAGATCAAACCAGCCACAACATTCCTTTAAGCCAAAGTCTAATTCAGAGCAAGGCCCAACTCTTAACAATTCTCTTAAGGCTGAGAAGGGTGGGGAAGCTGCAGAAGGAAAAGTCTGAAGCTAACAGAGGTTGGTTCATGGGATTTAAGGAAATAAGCCATATCCATAACAGAAAAGTGCAAGGAGGGGCAGCAAGTACTGATGTAGAAGCTGCAGCAAGTTATCCAGAAGATCTAGCTCAGATCATTAATGAAGGTGGCTCCACTATACAACAGATTTTCAATGCAGTCAAAATAGCCTTATATTGAAAGAAGATGCCATCTGGACTTTCATAGCTACAGAAGTCAGTGCCTGACTTCAAAGCTTTAAGGGACAGGCTGACTCTCTTATCAAAGAATAATGTAGCTGGTGACTCTTAGTTGAAACCAATGTTCATTTACCATTCCAAAAATCCTAGGGCCCTTCAGAACTATGCAAAATCTCTTCTGCCTGTGCTCTGTAAATGGAACAACAAAGCCTGGATGACAGCACATCTGCTTACACAACATGGTTTTACTGAGTATTTTAAGCCCACTGCTGAGACCTACTGCTCAGAAAAAAAGATTCCTTTCAAAATATTACTGCTGACAATGCACCTGGTTACCCAAAAGCTCTGATGGAGATGTACAATGAGATTAGTATTATTTTCATGCCTGCCAACACAACATCTATTCTGCAGCCCAGGGATCAAGGAGTCATTTCAATTGTTAAGTCTTTTTTTGAAAGATAATTATACATTATAGCTGCCACAAATAGTGATTCCTCTGATCGGTCTGGCCAAAGTAAATGGAAAACCTTCTGGAAAGGATTCATCATTCCTAGATGCCATTAAGAACATTTGTGATTCACAGGAAGAGGTCAAAATATCAACATTAACAGGAGTTT